TTGAGTAATTGAAGCTAACGTGCGTATGTGGTTGTTATTTTTATATTTTGCGAATTTCTCACCATTCAGTCTTTGCTGCTAGGAAGGTAATAAACCACCTAACGCAATCTATAAGTATGCGGGCCTACCAAAATATGTCGTTTCATGGTATCGCCTGTATCGTGCAGTGCACTGTGGGTTCGATTCGGTGCCTATGCGTAAGGCCACCTGAGGCCGCTGCTTGTACCTCTTTCAGTAGAAGTTTTTTGCGCCTATTTCCAAAACCAGGTTTTTGCTAGGATTTAGGATTATCGATGTGAGTGGATTTCGGGAGATCTCTAGAATTTTGCAGTGCATTATCGAAGATATCTAATGTGACACCGATTCCAGTGAAATAGCTAGGGGTTCATAGCCCAAGAATTCCTTGGAACTTGCACCCGCATTTTATTTTAGGTAAGCCATTTATTTATGTACAATTCCGGGTTCTATTCTTGATTATTATAATGTTGATATTCGTATATATTATTTAGTAAGAGTTTCGGCACGTAGTCCATTTGTAACAAGTCATGTGATGTCTGTTTTGGGATTAGGGAAGTGAAACAATCAGAGGTCAGAGTTTACCTTCACATTCATTTTATTTTAGAATCTTGGTGTACACTGTCGGATAAAGTAACTGTTTGGTGAGGAATATATAGCACGCTGTATCTGAACAGGATTGAGTATTGTTTTTACCAAGTACCATTTCCTGCCACACTACCCCTTTCCGGCGTACCCCAACCCTGAGCAAGATAAAGAGATCTTTTACAGAGCTAAAAATCATTGATTTCCCGACAGGAAAATTGAAAGATCATAAAGAAGACCAGAAGCCTGCCGAAATAAGTAATGACGAAATTTCTGTTTGGGTAAATTTAGACAAAAAAGTTGCGTCTTTTCAACCAAGTGGTACTTCTCAGTCCAGTTATTTGGAAGAACCTCAAATTAATAAAAATGACAATTAAATTCATGTATGGAAAATCCCACAAGCAACTTGCTTTTGTCATTATGACAGCAAAAAATGTTCGCCCTAACTTTTCCAGCGACAATAACAGAACATAACTTCTGAAAGCATGACAACCAGTCATGAACAAATGTTTGATGAATTGAATTGGCCTACCGAATTACACTCTAGATTTTGCTGCCAGAAAAATTACTAGTTCTACGTAATTTTTTCAGAGGCAGTTTTTTTCGTAAAATTGTGAGGCAACAAAATTCTTATTGATACAAATCAAGTTCACTTCAACAAAAAAAAGCTCTCGTCTGAAGTGAAAATTCAATAGTTTGGTGGCGGGAAAAATCATTTAATTTCCCAAATTTAGCTGAGCTGGTGAAAAAAAAATTCCTTACCTTACGGTAGCAACTTCAGTTCCCTGTGAGAGTTTTTTTTTTTAATCCGGCCAAGTATTATAGTAGAGTGCCAATCGAATCCTATCGTTCACCCCGTGGGAAATCGGAGGTAAAAAGCTGTGACATGGCTAGAATTGTTACCTACCATCTCCAGATCATGAATCCACTTGTCGTCAAAAAATCGTCCTGTGCGTTTGCGGGGTAGGGGGTAATTTATAAAAAAATATGGATTTTTTTTTATTCGTGGAAAATATTTATGGGTTTCAGAACTTCCACCCTGTTGAATCTTGATTTCGTGTGACAGGTAGAACAAATTATAGAAAATTTTGAAGTTTACTAATTACATTACGATATATAAGAGAATCATATTTCAAACGCCTATAACTCAAAACTTGTAAATTCTCGTTAAATTGTTTTTCATATACCTCGCATTATCTCAGTAACTACAACGTTTATCAAAAAAATACTAGGAATAATGTCGATGCGCCTATGTTTCAAGATGCGAATGGTTCTTTGATTTTGAAAATCGAAGCATAAATAAGGAAGATATTGAGAAAATCATAATGCAATGCAGGTACCATGGACGACCGCGTTTCGCCGCATTCGTACCCCTATTCTCCCCGCAATACCCGCGGCTATCATGGTTCCATACGCTTTCGTTATACACATCAACATTGAGGCGTTGACCATTGCATTTATGGTGACTTATTGTGAATTAATTATTCGATATTTGGTACTGCGTGCTCTGTTTCAATAATTAAATAAGTATTGATTAGCTAACGAAATCTATTATTGTAAATTTATCATAAAATATATGTTTCTCTAGATAAAAGAGCAATTCAAACACTGATCTTGCATATGTCTTGAAGTTGAAGATTCCTTTCCAGCAGAGTACAGAATCATCGAGAAAATGTATCATTTGTGGAAAAGATGGTCAACTCCTTCGTTGTATAGAATTATCGATAAAAACATTTGAAAGTTGTATGAATATAAGAAAAAAACTCGGAAAAAACTATGCGATGCAAATCGATATATGGAACTTCAGAGAATTGATGATATTTTCAATGAAAATAAAGGTCAATCGATCTTCTGGCACAGGAATATTGAAAACTGGAGACAATAATGTCAGGAATGAAACGCTTTCTATAGTGATATTGATGTGAAGGTATTTTTGATGTGTCTAAAAGAATTTTCTATCAAAAACGTTAAAATAAGAGTCAAGTTTTGACCTAGTTGTTTATTGCCATGGAAGTCAAGTATCATAACCAATGTTTTGTATCGAATTGGAAACATTATAGAGGATCACTGAGTGAGAATAAATTTGTCATACCACACATGACAAAGAATTTGATAATCTGATAAAATTATTAATAGATGGTGCAGATTTTTTAATGAAAAAGGGTATACTTTCAACTGTTTATATCAAAAATATGCCGAACTTGGTGGCAAAACTGGTAGGAAAATCTTAATTGAAGATTACTGTCTGTAGGTTAATCGAGAAGGTGAAACATTCATTTTACTTGATTTTTTGGGATTTTCTCTCCTCGTTTCTTTGGACGCTTCGGCAACGAATCTGCTTCCGTTCTCAACATGAAAATGCAACTTCCAAAGAAAAATGTTTTGCATTTTTATGTTGAGATCGGGAGCAGATTCGTTCCCAAAACGTCCAGAGAAACGAGGAGAGAAAATCCCGAAAAATCAAGTAAAATGAATTTATCGAAGAAATCAGAAAGCACTACGACAAGAAAATAGAAATTATCAAATAAATCAAAACGTTCTAATGAGTCGTAATTTGTGATTCCACAAAAGTGACAAAAACTCATCTGATTCATACACATATAATCATATAAAGAACAAAGTGAAATTACAGAAGATAACTCCCCTGACATTGTATGCATCAGATATGACCCAGATACACAAATTTTTTTGAGATATTTATCAAGATATGAGAGATATTCCAGATTATAAACAACTCAAGAATATCAAGGCTTACAAGGATATGATACCAAAAAAACTTTTTTTAAATTAGTTGCCTCATACACGATAAAGTTGATTCAGTTGATTCAAAGGTGTTGAGTATCTGATGTCAAGGTATAATACTCGCTAATTCGAAATTCAAAAAACTCACACCGAAACACGTTGGTTTGGGAATAATGATTCATCAAGAGACATAATCGAAAAAAATTATCGTAGCTTTGTGTTCATGTGGACACTGTATCGTATTTACGTGTATTTACAACTTCGCAATTCGATAGGTATCAAATAATGTTTTTTTCAAGTTTCCACAAGGATATCTTATTTTTATTTCAATATTATATGCATCATGTTTTGTTTCAATATTTGTCAATTTGTTTAGAAATGAGATGGTTGACATTTTACTCTGAGGAATAAGAAATGTACTTTCGAGATAGAATCATTCATAAAATAAATGGAGGCACTTACAATCAAACAGCAAGTTAAAATAAATTTCTGTTAACTTGGAAAATAGCGATCAATTCCATTTCTCCTGTGAATTCCAAGATCGTACTATTCTTCGTACTAGGACGGCTGCGGGCGTTGCGGGGAGAATCGGGGTATGAAAGCGGCGAGTCGCCGTCCTTCGTACTACCTGCATTGCATTATGATTTTCTCAATATCTTCCTTATTTATGCTTCGATTTTCAAAATCAAAGAACCATTCGCATCTTGAAACATAGGCGCATCGACATTATCCCAGGTATCTTTTTGATAAACATTGTAGTTGCTGAGATAATGCGAGGTATATGAAAAACAATTTAACGAGAATTTACAAGTTTTGAGTTATAGGCGTTTGAAATATGATTCTCTCATATATCGTAATGTAATTAGTAAATTTCGAAATTTTCTATAATTTGTTCTACCTGTCACACGAAATCAAGATTCAACAGGGTGGAAGTTCTGAAACCCATAAATATTTTCCACGAATAAAAAAAAATCCATATTTTTTTATAAATTACCCCCTACCCCGCAAACGCACAAGACGATTTTTTGACGACAAGTGGATCCATGATCTGGAGATGGTAGGTAACAATTCTAGCCATGTCACAGCTTTTTACCTCCGATTTCCCACCAACTTTTGATCTAAGCGACTTACGGTTCGTTTGGCACTCTACTATTATCTGACCGGAGAAATACCTAGAGTGTACTCACAAAAAGTTAAGAAACTTCTCTTTTTGAATGCAAACTGAAATCGATATTTTTCTGTTGGATGTTGATATTATCAGTACCTGAATTCGGGTGACTTAGATATTTATACCGATTCTGGAGAATTATTTTCAGTTTCAATTTTTAAAATAAAATGTTCCTTAATAATTTCAACTATCAACTTATAACCTCATTATACACAATTTATATGATCATAAAAGCTTGTTGCGCGATTTACGTGTGTTAATAAACTAGTACTAATTTAATTTTGTAAAATCTGAGTTTAAATTTTCAAAATTTAAATTTAATTAGTTAGTGATCATCGCGAAAAGCTTTTATGATCATATAAATTGTGTATAATGAGGTTATAAGTTGATAGTTTGAATTATAAAGAAACATTTTATTTTATTCTTCATACAGCGTTTGAATAAGAGCATTTTATCAATTTTTTTTTACTTTTAATTCATTTGTCAATTTTCAGTTATCGCAGGCCAGGTTTCTCAGTCTGTTCATTTCATTCAGCGCATCATTGTTGCAAGATCGTTTGCCGGGTAATTTCGAACAGTCCAGCTCTTCAATAAGGATACCTGATGATTTAACCCTACTTAAAACCACGTATGCTTGACCAGCAGCGAAGAGCTTTGAGCCTGAGTAAATAATGGCGTAGTCGACAGGACTACCTTGCATTTTATGTATTGTCCAGGGTGGGCCAAATTGGTCACTTTTAAAGGGGTAGTCCTATTCTCCAACTAGATAGAAGAAAACTGTTGTCGGTGCCTGAAGGTCGATTCTCATGCAAAACCCAATGGTGAAAACCGCATATCGATATCTGACTTCGTTTTGGAGTTACATGTTCTTCGAAATTGGGCATTTTTGAGAATTTTTCTTTTGCAAAAACTCTATGTCCTCATGAAAATAACTGCAAAGCATTGAGTATGTAATAACAATCATTCCTGAGGCACTGAAATCGGCCTTCTTATATCAATTTTTATGGTGTGGCATTTTAAGGAATGAAGTAATTGGTCCTGTTTTCATCGAGGGTACCCTAACAGGACAAACTTATTTACTACTGCTGCAAGGCGAAATTAAAAATTGTATCGATAATCTACCCATTATCCAAAGAATAAATCTAATATGGAAGCAAGATGGAGCTCCTCCGCATAACACAAGTGCTGTCGTAAAGTTTCTTAGTGATCGATATCCTACATGGTTCGAAAGAAATGGAACGATTCCATGGCCAGCCCGCACTCCGGTCCTCAATTCACTTGATTCCTTCCTTTGGCGAGCTTTGAAGCAAAAATTTACGATCAGGATATTGATAATGAGGAAAACCTCCAGGAGTTACTCAGAGAACAAATAAATATTTTGAACTTCACTTCTTCTTCCAACTTTTTTGTTCATGCAAATTTCGGCAATTGACCAGGAAATATGAAAATTTCAACATTTTTACACAAAAAAAGTTCAACTGTTTAGTTCACTTACACCATGATTGCATGCACAGGATGAAAATAGTGCTATTTCAGTAATAGGGTAGGTACTTACCAACATTATTTTTCAATTCATTATTTTTATTGCAGCCCAAAACATCGGAGCAAGGATGTTCGAAGAAAGGGTATTATTCAAAGAAAAAAAACTTTCAATGAATAGGATCAACAGTTTATCAACAGAGTTGAAAAACATACAGAGAAGAAACAAATTACCATCAGCTACAATATATTCCAGTGTTTTTTATTTTCTCCAAAAAGTCCGACTTCTCACAAAAGTTATGATTTGTGGAAAATACCCCTTCTTTCAACATCTACCTTCGATGTTTTGATTGAAAAAATTGGTGTGTAGCTACCCTATTACTAATATACTATTATAATATAAGAAATATACTAAAAAACACTAATGTTATTCTTTTTTACAACAGTGTGTACAAAATTTTCTCGAATGCTGTAATAATGTGATCTTGACTGTGAGTGTAATACCTGTGGTAATACTGTAGTTTTATTTCATGTTCATTTTTTTGTTTAAAGTATTTGACAATGCCGACTAGCTTATTTACGTTAAATAGCCTAAAAATGGTATATGTATTCAACAAAAATGTAATGTTTTGTTTGGAGGATGGATCTACATAAGAATGTACTGAAGTACCATTTTGAAGTCGAAATGTTAAAATTTCCATATTATTATTTCCTGGCCAACCTGCCAAATATTGCATAAACAAAATGAGTTGGAGGAAAAATTGCCTAGCTCCTATTTCCCATGCACCTAATCAGAAATTATTCGATAAAAGGAAGAATTTCCATCGATTTGATTAACTGGGATTATCAGGAAAATTTTGCGTTGAATAATTACCCTATTACAATTTTTCTACACTACATTTTTAGCAGAAATAAAACGAAACTTTTCCTGGAAGAAACCTCAGACGAACTCTGTAGAACCATTTCTGAAGATGTATTTCAGTTTGTTATTTGATACTTTTTGCTTCATGAAAAAGGTTCTGAATTCAATATGTTGGGAATGAATCTTTGATATTTTCAAGATTACTTTTCCCTTATTATTGCATTTTTATTGTTCAAGAGACATATTCAGAAAAAAATATAAATATGCTAAAGCCCTCTTAGGATGCCTTTTCCGACCTTCTTTATTAGATATTTTCATTTTTTTCGATCGTAGAAGCCGTTAGTGAAAACTGACCTCAAATTACACTTTTTGGTATGCAACAGTCTCACGATGCCTCCTCTCCATATCGATTTGTTTGACCCACGTGTAACAAGCGCTGCCAATGAGCACTATCAGATTCGAACACCACCACAGCAAAGATTTCGTTTCCTGGTACCAGTAGGTAGCTAATACTGTTTGTGCGCAAGCTTTTGCTGTTCCAGATATATTGTGTGTCAAGGCTGAAGTGTACTGAAAGCAAAAAGTTAAAATTAGATGTATCCTTGGTTGGAATTGATAAATAGCCGTTCGAAGCAAATAACCAAACTGAGAAGGAATCTTTGTACATATTTGTATGATTAAAATCAATATCTTTAAAACACCTCAGGTACAGGAAGGCGAAGTTTCATTCAAAGAACATTTATAGAGAATTTATTTTATATAAATGTGATCAGAAATGTAACCTACTTATTACTGATTTTTCTTTCCTTTTTCTGACAGTCAATATGAGAGATTATATTCACACTTCCTTCCAGAAATATATTCTTAAGACTCTGAGTCAATTCGTATTGAACGTAAACTCTAATAATAGATTTTGCAGAAAATTCATTGAATCTGGGAATGGTATTACCTACAGCTCATACGGATGGGAAATAAACTATACTTTTTTTACGACTGTGATAGATAACAGCGAAATTTATGATTTTTTCGGCTTGTACCCATCTGTTTTTCTTGAGTCATTGTCTTGAAATTTGACATTTCATAGGAGATGAGATTTTGTGAGATTAAGATACCTGTGGAAAGGTACAATAAACCTTCATTTTCGTAAATCGGGCACCATATCTATATTAACATACGATGTACTGGAGTAACTCAAAGGGTTGATTAAAAATATCACCTACTAACAGAATTATTCAGGTCTAGTTGATCGTTAAGTAAATTGTTTGAATTTTTGCGATTATTGATTTCTAATGATTCAAAATGATTGAGTTTCATTCCTTTATTTTCTACGTGTCAAATTTCGAAATTATCATCAAAATTATGTTTTTTTTTCTAATATATGGTTCGCGTATGTTGAATTTGTTTTCTTTTTCAAAAAATATATCTTATGTTCATGTCTGACCAATATAGGTGATTCTAAAATAGGTGGTCAAACTTTGGGAGCATATAGAGTGGGTGAAATAGTTACGAAAACCTCCGTAACATTTTTTTCTGAAGTGACCCCCAAGAAAGATACAGCCCCTCAAAGGGGGGCCTCAGAGAATGATTTTGAATTAGTATCTCCAACACCTTGTGTAATGAAAATCTGAAATTTTGTCCATCCACTTACTATTCAGTGCCGGTTCGAAGAAGTTAAAATCACCTCAAAATTAAATACAGGGGTGTGTCAAAATAGGGAGGTAGGGGGTAAAAATAACCCCAACTTTTTTGTTCATCACAATTTCAGTTTTTTTACATGAAAATATGGAATCTCAGGGCTATTAACATAGAAAAGGAGCTCTTGTTGAATCTCGATAAAATGAACCATTAGCGAATAAAATTTATTTTTCCAAGATTTCATTTAAATTGCAATTTTGGTGTGCGCTCAAGTTTAATTATCTAGTTCAAATCTCGCAACTGAATTTTTACCTATTTCTGATCGTCTGATCAACTCAGAATCTGGCAGATGACAGTTGACAATGCGTTATGGCGGCTCCAATGTGGCTGACCAGATTTGTGATTATGGTTCGATTCGATTCAAAATTGGTATGTGAGGGTTTTTGGGGTTGGAAATTTAGAATTCGTTGTCGGAATTCGTGAAATCAAAATAGCCGACGAGTTTTGTTATTATGGACTGATCCTATTAAAAATAGAATAAAAAATATTGATGAAAACAAGCTTTCATTACTTTAACTATTGAAATAAAAAATTAAAGATGAAATAAGGTGAAAAAAGACAAGCCTTTTCTCAAATGCTCTGAAAATGACGAGAAAAATGCTTTGGATATCTCACGTAAGTTATTCTGTGAGTAAGGTATTCGATAGCTTACATATCTGAAGAAATCTTCTTCCACTTCCTGAAGCATTTGGATAGAAACATTATTGTCACTGATTTTTTTACCTTATTTTATTACATTTCAGTTCAACATAACCCCAACGAAATGAAACGTAGAATATAACCCTGAGTTAGAGAGCGTCAGAGAGCACAGCAGGAATATGACAGAGATGATTTAGTTTTCTATAAGATTCTGGAAAGAGGCAAGCTCTATGACGATGAAATTGTGAGTGATCCGCAACATTACTTCAGCGTTGTAAGAATTCTCTAATGACGTGATGCTCAATCATCATTTCACCCCTCAAAATGTCCTCCATTCATTTTTATGCTTTGATACAGTCTTTGTTCACGACATAATTCCATAATTTCAGTCGTTTGACATGAAATTATGAAATTTCAGGGCTATTTACATAAAAATGGTATGCTCTCGTTGAATGTCGATAAAATGAACCATTTCCGAATAAAATTGATTTTCACATTTCAATTCTCCGATGAGAAGTAAAATATGGGAACAAAGAATACAAATAGAACCACTAGATTATCAGTTGACATTTTATTGTCAGTTTTGAGAATTGTCAAAATCAGTTGGAATTTCGTTAGCATTGTTTTCAAATCGTCAAACATGCCAAACTATACATTTTCTGAGTACGTAGATATGCTATCATTGGGCGAATGTCATGGAAGTGCACGGGCTGCAGTGAGGCGGTACAATGAGAAATATCCGCGAAGAAATCTAGTAGATTACAAAACTTTCCTGTCTACTAAACGACGTTTACGTGAATGTGGGAGTTTGAAACCCAGAACTTCTGACAGAGGAAGACGAAGGACTATGAGAACAGTCGCGAATGAGGAAAATATTCTGAATATTATTGAAGATAACCCCTCGTCAAGTACCAGGCGTTTGTCATTACAAACGAATATGTCACAACCGGTTGTTTGGAGAATACTAAAAGAACAACAATTGCATCCCTACCATTACCGACAAGTCCAGGATATTTTGCCAGGAGATAGACCCCTACGAATGGAATTTTGTAACTGGCTTCTGAATAGGCGTGAACAAAACCCCACGTTTCTTTCTGAAATCATTTTCAGTGATGAGGCTATACTTTCACCAGAAGCGGAGTGTTTAACATGCACAACGAACATGTTTGGGCCGATGAGAATCCCCATGCCAAAAAAGTTACTCATTATCAACATTCTTTTAAAATTAATATTTGGGCAGCAACACTTGGGAATGAGCTTCCAGGCTATCACATTCTCCCAGGTAATTTAACCGGTGAAATGTACCATGAGTTTTTATCCACCCAACTGTTTGACCTTTTGGAAGAAATTCCTCTAGCGAGATGGCATGTTCTTTGGTACATGCACGATGGGGCCCCACCCCATTTCAGTCGACAGTGTCGATTATGGCTCTCCGAGAATTTCACGAATCGATGGATAGGTCGAGGTCATGATGCTCCTGTGAATTGGCCCCCGAGGTCACCAGATCTCAATCCTATGGACTTCACTGTTTGGGGACAAATGAAAGAAAAAGTATATTCCCGGTCGATTGATTCTATCGAAGAACTGCAGCAGAGAATTGAAAACGCTTTCACTGAAATAATTCATGAGGGAAGGCTTAACCGCATATTATTTTCTCTTGAAAAAAGACTGCGCCAGTGCATAGAAGTAAATGGAGGACACTTTGAGGAGTGACATGATGATTAAGCATTAAGTCATTAGAGAATTCTTATTACGCTGAAGAAATGTTGCGGATCTCTCACTATTTCATCGTGATACAACTTGCCTCTCTCCAGAATCTTACTAATCGAAAACTTCATCATCCCTCTCTTACATTCCTGCTATGCTCTCTAACTCAGTGTTAAATTCTACGTTCCATTTCGTTGAGGTTATGTTGTATGAAAATGTAATAAAATAAGGTAGAACAAAAATCAGTGATAATAATGCTTCCATTCAAATGCTCCAGGAAGTGGAAGAAGATATCTAGAAGCATTTTTTTCTCATTTTTAGAGCATTATTTCATCTTCGATTTTGTATTTCAATAGTTAAAATAATAAAAGCTTGTTTTTTACAATATTTTTTATTTTATTTTCAATAGGATCATCCATAATCACGAAAATCGTCGTCTATTTTTAATTCATGAATTCCGACAACGAATTCAAAATTTCCAACCCCAAAAACCCTTACAAACCAATTTTGAATCGGATCGGACCATAATCACAAATCTGGTCAGCCACATTGGAGCCGCCATATTTTTTTCTATCAAGTCCATAACGCGTTATCAACTGTCATCTGCCAGATTCCAAGTTGATCAGACGATTAGAAGTAGGTAAAAATTCAGTTGCAAGATTTGAACTAGATAATTAAACGTGAGTGCACACCAAAATTGCAATTTAAACACCCCTGTATTTAATTTTGAGGTGATTTTAACTCCATTCGAACCGGCACTGAATAGTTAATATATAAACAAAATTTTGGATTTTCATCATACAAGGTGTTGGAGATAATAATACAAAATCATTCTCCGAGGCCCCCCTTTGAGGGGCTGTATCTTTCTTGGGGGGCACTTCAGAAAAAAATGTTACCAAGGTTTTCGTAATTATTTCACTCACTCTATATACTCCCAAAGTTTGACCACCTATTTTAGAATCACCTTGTATGTAGGACAATGTCCACAGTTGAGTTTCAATACCCCTGATTTTTCCAATTCAGAAGTTTTGTCTGAGCACAGTGAAACAACAGCAATTTTTCGTTGAGGCCGTAGAAAATAAATTTGCTAGTAGGTATAGGTGTCAACTTCTCATTGTCGTAATGAACGTTGAAATGAAAAAATGAAATCTTACCTCAGATATGTGATATGACGTACTATGATGAAATAATGGATCTCAGAGTGGATATTATCACATGGAATTTGAATTCTAACATCCATAGTAAACAGTTATATCATCAGTATTATTGGAAATTTGGTGTACACCAGCTATTTGATTTTTTGTCAACTCAAAATGATGATATTATTGCAATAAATCAACTTTTACATTTTATGAAAATACTGTTTCATTCATTAGTGATTTTCTATATGAGGCACAAACCAACTTAAATACTTTGCAAATGAAAAATTTCACTTCAAAAATCAAAATCAGTTTATTCATCACAGAAACATACACAATATATAAAAAATTGAGACCAAATACAGATGTATATTTATACTCAAGAAAACATAAGAAATAAAAATATTCCCTACAAAAAACACACTTAAAGATAGAAATACAGATAAAAATTCAAATCTAACAAGATGAAAATGAATGAAATACTTTCTTTTATTCATTTTTAATCTGAAGGAATTGTTCAGGTTGAATATTTGATTCAACTGCCAAGGATAGCTCCTTCATGCACTTTATCAAGTTTCCAGCCCACTGAACCATCTGCTTGGAAGAGTTATTGCTTCCTAGTCGCCTGATTCCATGTTTGTTTGTTTCTTATTTTTCCATGTTCCATCATCATTAACATAGTCATTAAAACCAGTCTGGCAATAGCGCCTATTCAGCATGAGGAATGTCAGCTTCTTCTTTTTTAGGAAATTGTGCAATACGATTTTTGCTCCCACAATGGCTTCATAATTTTCAATTTGAGCAACTATTAGTTTTATCAAAATCCTTCATCTTTGTTCTAAGATGCCGAAGGTGTTCTCTACGGTTCTCCGAGCACGAGACAAACGGTAATTGAAAATATTTTTATTATTTATTTATTTATTACTTTTTCTTTTTCCTCAATCACGCCCAAGAAAGGGAAGCATTATATTTTTGTGTAATGGAAAGGTTTCAACTGCAACAAGAAAATGTGGCAAAACTTTCAGGAGGAATATCCATGAATCCATTCATGACAGCAGATCCAAAGCCAGATTCTTCAAATACACAACGGTCATGGTTTGAAACAGCTGCTCCAATATCTACCGTGAATCGATAGTAACTATCAAAGCTCTCCACTATTCATTTTCTGGATGAACCATTTCCTATTGGTACCAATTTCATCGGATATTGTATTCATGTCTGTGAATATGTCAAATATGTCCTAGGTGTCACCTTAAATTGAGCGCCAATATTTCGCTTTATTATGATTGGCCGCTCCCTACTCGTGCGGTTCATAACGTTCTGTCAATTCTGTCCTTAGATCATACAGGAATAGATGATGTATCTAGGGCGATTTGTTTTGCAACTGAAGGGGGGAATAGAGTACAAGTCTTCCTATTGGACGATTTGAAATTGCCGCTTGTGACGTTCCATGTTCGTGACCATAGATTCTTCGTTTCGTGTATGATTCGTATGTTTACAAGTTTTGTTTGCATTGTGTTTTTCGTGGATTTTATCAATTCTTGGGTGTTTTTGTGAGAGAAACTGTTTTTAATTGAAGTGTATTGTGAAAACAAAGACTATGGGCAGATCCTGTGCTATTTGTAATAGCAAATATGCTAAGTCTTCATCAAAATCGTTTCATTCG